CCAGGATCAGGAACTGAACCAGGATCAGGAACTGAACCAGGATCAGGAACTGAACCAGGATCAGAAACTGAACCAGGATCAGAAACTGAACCAGGATCAGCGAGCTCAAACAGTCCTTTAAAAACACAACGAAGGGTGGACGTGAGGGTGAAGATGATGAAGACTGCTGTCTGAAGAACTACATTAAATAACACAGACAGAGGGAACCCTGTGTGTAAGGTCAGAGGTCAAGCTCACACCTGATGTCGGCCACGCTGTCGGCGGCGTCCTTCCTGATCTCGGTCCGGCTGAAGGAGAACTGGGCCTGGCCTTTCTGCGGCGTGGACGGGTCCTCCGGCAGGAACTCCACGATGTGCGGGTTGTCCTCGTTGCGGCGGACGCAGCCTTTGTTGATGACGTGCATGATGCAGGAGAGCACGTCGCTGGTGCTGCAGCTGAAGCGAGACGCTTCATGTTTCTGACACGAGTCCAGGACCTGGAGGGGACCAACAACATCCTGATGATTAACCTTAACATGTCAAGATGTCCTGAGGGTGGCGCTAGAGGACAGATTGATTCTGAGCCTCAGTAATAAACATCTGAAACTACAGTTCCCATGATGCTTTGGAGGCTGTAAAGTGAGTCAACTGTGGGCTAAAGACCGATGTAGAGTGGACGGCATTGCGATGGCGGATAAACATTGAGCTAGTTGGCAAGCTAGCTGAAGATTGATGTGAAAATGTGTAGCTATGCTAGCTTAGCTAATGTTAGCTGACCAGCTAACGCGACCTTGGTAACAATAGCTAACGTTGGAGATGTAATAATTCGGATTGAATGGTTACGTCAAAGCAGTCGATCAGTGTGGGGATACGAACTTATGTATTCTGACCAACAATACAAAGCTAACGGTTGCTGAGAGACAGTCAGACAGCCTCAGAGAGACAGTCAGACAGTCTCGTGTAGATCGTCTCACTGCGGTGCTGCTAGGATTCATGGAGGTAAATTCTGGATCCAAGATGTCTGTCAGAAACAGAAGAAGAAGCTCTGTGTGACCTCTGACCTTGAAGACCAGGTTGTCGATGTGCATCTCCTTCTCCTGCTTCATGATGTGGACGATCAGACAGTAGATGTAGTTCCTCTTCCTCTCCAGCGTGCCGGCGGCGTCCTCGTCCACGTTCAGGTATGTCTGTTTGGGCAGCAGCTGGACGGAGGCGGGGACGCCCTCCTGGCTACGGGACGTCACCTGCTCGTTCAGCTGCAACACACCTGAGGACGGACAGGGAGGGGTGAGCCTGAGAGGAGGAGGAGGATGAAGGGCGGCAGTGTGTGTGTGTGTGTGTGTGTGTGTGTGTCTGACCCTGGACGGGCTCGTTGGGCTGGCTGCAGATCAGCGGTCCTCCCTCGCTGATGAGCGGCAGCAGAGCGTGAAGCAGGACGGCAGCTGACACGCCGGTCGCCTGCAGCAGAGCGTCAACTCGAACCTCCTACAGAGAGAGCAGACTGTCAGTGAACGC